GGGATTCGAACCCGCCACCTTAGGTGTATGTGGCTGGCGCCTTAGCCCCTTGAGCCACAGGCGCCGAGCCCAGAGGCTAAGTTTAAATCATACTTCCTCCAAGAAATCTTCCTTGATTACTCCAGCTCACGGAGCTCTCTCCTTCCTCTAAACTAAGTAAAAAATTTCTTGAAAAACTCCTTAAGGATGTAGGATGGTTGTCTGCTCCTTGAGAAATGGATAGAGCCAGTTTTTCCATCCCTGATTCTCCATTTCTGAAGCTATAAAATTGGACCGGTGACCTTAACCCTTCTTGTTGTCCCAGGGTAGTACTGGGTGAGGATACCACTGAGCCTGCCTGGAGCCAGGAGCCAGTCTGCAGAAACTGCTGGGCCTGTTCCTACCCTGATGTTTACTTGGCCCAGAGGCCCAGTGTGATGAAATTCAGCCCTGTTGCCGAGCACCTTGGGAGGCCTCTCTCCAGGGTCCCTCTGTGCTCAGACAGTGGCCCTTTGTGGAGCAGAGGAGCAGACTGAAAGCAGAGCCGCCAGAAACCCTTTCCTCCCCCTTGCCTCCAGTGGCCTCTAGCTGCCTCCTCCAGAGCCACTGACCATCCTGTGCCTGGGTGGCCTCTGCTTTAAGTCTGGCTGGGGCTGGCAGGGTGAGATGGGGCCTCTAGGCAGCCAGCTAGGCTGAGTGAGTGAGGAGGGGTCCTGCCAAGTTGGCATGCTGAAACAGAGCATCCCCTAACTCAATGCAGGCTGCTTATAATGGGGCTCTCCAAAGAGGAGAGACTGACCCCTTACAGGCAAGATTGACATTTCATTATGCCTCCTCACCCTATTAGATTTAGGGCTGGAACTTGTGATGTGGTTTGTCCCTTCTGCCCCTACTTCACTGGTCCCTGTACTCAATAGGGGGGAGATTGGGAATTGTTAGATGTCATCCCAAATCTGGTGGAGGAGTTAGACCTAGTGGGAGGGACTCTTGACAAGAGAAGGAAGGTCATGTGGTATAGTGAAAAGATACTCCCTTTTCTGGAGGATGGGGGAAAAAAGGCCTGAGATTCCAGTTCCTGCTGAGCCACTGACTTGTTGAGTCATTAGCTAGTTGCTTTCCTTTTCTGTGTCTCAGTTTTCCCCCAGCTGCAAAATTGTGAAGGTGGGATAGATGAATGTCAAGGATTTTTTCAGTTCTGATTTTTCCTAATTCTTTGATTAGAGACAGGAAAGGGAAGAGCTGGGGGTGGGTTGGAGGTAGGTAATGGCATTGTGGTCCCTGCTGATTCATCCATAAACACTAGGCAGTTTCTTTGCTGCCATCAGGATCCCCTCCTTCCTCTGTGTTTCTCCCCTTCTCCTTTGCCTCTCACTTTGAGAATTTGTTGTGATAAGATCTAGAAGCTGTTTGATTTAGATTGCCTTATCCCATCTTTTGCTCCTAGGAGGAGAGGACTATACACAACCACTGGCAGGTCTGGTGGAGAGGGAAAGAGGTTAGGAAATCGAGGAAAATTAAGAGATAAGGTGAAATGGAGGGAAGCATTGAAAGAGAACTCAGGAAAATGAACAGGAAGGAAAAAGGAAGAGAGACTGCTAGAAAGGGAAAAGAGGTAAGAGTGAAAGAGGGTGTCTCACACAGGTCTGAGACAAAAAAAGAAAAGAAATAGAAAACCTAGAAAGAGGGAGAAATGAGATGGAGTATGAGGAAGGTCGGAATGGAAGAGAAAAACAGGAAGAGAGACTGTGTGAGAAAACCAGAGCCTTTCAAATATGTCAACAGTGTGTTCTAGGACAACAAACAGTTCAGCTTGGCTGGAGATAAGAGTGTGTATCGGTAGACAAAATTAGAATTAGAATCAGATTGTAGAAGGTCTTGAACACCAGGCTAATGATTCTGAAGTCCATTTTTTTTTTTTTTTAAGAGAGAGTCTCACTCTGCTGCCTAGGCTAGAGTGCTATGGTGTCAGCCTAGCTCACAGCAACCTCAAATTCCTGGGCTCAAGTGATCCTCCTGCCTCAGCCTCTGGAGTAGCTGGGATTACAGGTGCCTGCCACAGCAGTTGGCTGTGTTTTCTATTTTTAGTAGAGACAGAGTCTCACTCTTGCTCAGGGTGGTCTCGAACGCCTTAGTTCAAGTGATCCTCTGGTCTTAGCCTCCTAGAGTGCTAGGATTACAGGTGTGAGCCATCATATCTGGCCATGCTAATGATTTTGAACTTTATATCTCTTATTTTCTTCAGCTCATATCCCCCTGATAAGCTGGGTGAGGCCCAGAGGAGCATTTTTATTCATCCATCCATTCAGCAAGGGACTGTGTCTTATCCAACTCTGTATCCCCAGAGTATAGTGCAATGTCTGCACATAAGATAGAGTCAGTAAATGCTTGTTAAAATTGAGCACTTGGGGGAAAAAATGATCACTTGGAGAAAGCAGCAGTGAGTCAATCTCATAGAAAATGTTAGAATAAGCATATTGCAAGGTGGAGAGTGCTGAGTGCTCTAAGAGAGCTTTGGATAAGAGTTACAGGAGATCAGAGGAAAGCAAGACAGCTTTCCCTGCCATCTTTAGCAGAAAAGTCCCAGAGAAGATTAAAATGGGGTCAATCTTGGCCACTTGAATTAAACCCTGTGGCCTGGAACATAGATTCTGTTGGAGGACACAGGGTGCTCTGTATGAGTGAAGAGCAAAGATTTCTCCAAAGAAAAGGGAGGGATTGTTACCAGAAGAAGAAAAATTAGAATGGGGCATGGCCACCACAATCTGCTGTAGTGGAATAAGGTGAGGCATGTATACAGAAAAATGAGAAGGGTAGGAATCTGTTTGAGAGTAGTAGAAGTTGGGCAGTGCCTGTGGCTCAGTGAGTAGGGCGCGGGCCTGGGGCTCAGGGAATAGGGCGCCGGTCCCATATACCAAGGGTGGTGGGTTTGAACCCAGCCCTGGCCAAACTGCAACAAAAAAATAGCCAGGCATTGTGGCAGGGGCCTGTAGTCCCAGCTACTCAAGAGGCTGAGGCAAGAGAATTGCCTAAGCCCAAGAGCTACAGGTTGCTGTGAGCTGTGACACCACAGCACTCTACTGAGGGTGACAAAGTGAGACTCTGTTTCAAAAAAAAAAAAAAAAAGAGAGAGTAGTAGAAGTTAAAAATAGAGATAGAGACACACCCCAGACGAACTCAAATACCAAGCTTGTCTCTTGAACTAGAGAGGGCCCTTGTTGGAGTTATACATTGGGAGAACTTATCAGGCCACCATGGTACAGAATGGACTGGAGGCCAGAAGACCAGGACTGATGGGAAATTGTTCTGGAATGTCCTCTGATAAAACCTGTGCACAAGATCCTGTTCTTTCCACTGTAACTCATTTATGTTTTGTTTTGCCCATTCTAGGTCAAAGGACTCAGGTGGATGAAAGGTCACACATGTGTCAAAAGGGGCTGCCTTTTCCTGGCCAAGTCTCTTTTATTCTTTTAGGTCTGCAACCCCTTCACCCAGGAAATGAATGCTCCAGTGATTTATAAGGCAGGTGAGTATCTACAAATGGCTTTAAAGATTGCGAGGGAGAGCGGCGCCGGTGGCTCAAAAGGGTAGGATGCCAGTCCCATATGCCGGAGGTGGCAGGTTCAAACTCAGACCTGGCCAAAAAAAAAAGATTGGTGGGCAGAGTTTACAGCCATATTTCTGAAGAGTGGCAGTGTCAGTGCCTGGCCTCCCTGGTCTCTGGGACCTAACAATCAGGGGATTCCACTTTTTAGCAGGAAGTGGCCCAGGCCTGTGTCCCAGTGTCACCTTTCTCCTCATCCCAAATATTTCCATAGAGAAAAACTGTAGCATGGCCTAAGGGGGAGCATAAGACTTTGGAGTCAGACATTCCTGGCCTTGGTTCTCAGCTGTACTACTTTCTGGCTCTGGAACTTTGAATGAGTGGTATAAGTTATCTGAGACTTTGTTTCCTTGTATGTCAAATGGAGGTTATAATACTAATTTCCTAGACTTGTGAGAGCTGAATAAGCTAATGTTAAAAAAAAAAAAAACAACACTTGGTACAGTATCACATAAGCCATAGGCACTCAGCAAATGTGAATTCCTAGTCATTTTTTTTTTTTTTGGAGACCGTGTCTCACTATGTTGCCATCAGTAGAGTGCTGTTGTGTCACAGCTCACAGCAACCTCACACTCTTGGGCTTAAGAGCAATTCTCTTGCCTCAGCCTCCCCAGTAGCTGGGACTACTGGCACCTGCCACAATGCCTGGCTATTTTTTATTGTAGTTGTCATTGTTTAGCTGGCCTGGGCAGGTTCAAACTCGCCACCTATGGTTGGTGCCATAACCACTGTACTACCTGGCTGGTTTTAGAGATGAGGTCTTGCTCAGCCTCAGACTGGTCAGAACCTGTGAGTTCAGGCAATCCACCAGCCTCTGCCTCCCCGAGTGCTAGTATTACAGGTGTGAGCCACCTCACTTGGCCTTTATCCATTTATCTTTTAATGGACACTGGTTGTTTCCACCTTTTGGTTATTGTGAATAATGCTATGAACATTGTTATGCTAGTAGCTGTCACTATTTTATGCAATCTAAAATGAAAAGAAATATAGGGCATAATAATGACCCCTAAAATCCTGATCATAGTGGCTTATACTTTGGGAGGCCAAGCCAAGAGGACTGCTTGAGGCCAGGAGTTCAAGACCAGCTTGAGCAATGTAATAAGACCATGTCTCTGCAAAAAAACCAGAAAAAATTAGCCAGAAGTGGTGGCATGTGCCTGTGGTCCTAGGTACTTGAGAGGCTTAGGCAGAAGGATCACTTGAGCCCAGGAGTTTGAGGTTGCTATGAGCTATGATGATGCCACTGCACTCTAGCACAGGCAATAGAGTGTGTCTCAAAATCAAACAAGCAAACAAACAAAAAAGATATCAGTCTTAATCCCTGGAAGCTATAAATGTTAATTTATATGGTAATGATTTGGTGGATTTGATAAAGCATTTTGAGATGGAGAGATTATCCCAGATTATCAGTGTGGCCTTTAAATGCAATCATATGAATCTTTATTTTTTTTTGGAGACAGAGTCTCACTCTGTCACCTTGGGTAGAGAGCTGTGGCATTATAGCTCACAGCAATCTCAGACTCTTAGGTTCAAGCAATCATCTTGCCTCAGCCTCCCAAGGAGCTGGGACTACAGGCGACCATCACAACCCCTGGCTAATCATATGAATCCTTATAAGAAGATGGTTTGACCACCCCAGAAAAGGAGACAGCAATGTGATTATGGAGCCAGGGATTGAAGAGTTGTGGTCAAAATCCAAGGAATGCTGCCAGAGGCTGGAAGAAGCAAAGAATGGATTTTTCTTTTCTTTTTTTTTTTTT